ATATTTCAGCCGCAGTAAAGAATCAACGTTGGCGGATTTTGGTTCTTGACATCCTTTACGATCGGTTACGATGCCTAGAGTACGGAGACCTGCACGATTTCGTCAACTTAGTGAGTTTGATAGGGGCCATATAGTGGGACTTCGGGAAGCTGGACTTTCTTTTCGGGCAATTGCAGTTAGAGTGCAAAGAAGTGTAGACACTGTGGTTAGGTGTTTTCAGGCATGGCTTCGAGAAGGCCGTACGCAAAGAGCAAGGGGCACTGTACGCCGCCGTAGAACAACAGACCGTGAAGATCGCCGCCTAAGATTATTGGCCTTAAGGGGGGACCGTTTCTCCACTACCAGGTCCATTGCAAATGAATGGTTTGCAGAACACGGAAGACCTATTGGCATGCGAAGTGTTTACCGACGAATGAGAAGTTTTGGCTTGTTTTCATACCGGCCACACTGGGCCCTCCCTTTAACTCGAGAACACCGACGTAATAGCCTTGAGTGGTGCAGACAATGGTCACTCTGGGATCAGGAATGGAACAGTATTGTCTTTAGTGACGAGTCTCGATTTTGTTTAGGCATGCACGATGGTCGTGCCAGGGTTAGAAGGCGACGTGGTGAAAGGAGGGATCCACAGTTTTTTGTTGAAAGACATGTTCATGGAGTTATGGTTTGGGGTGCTATAGCTTATGGTTCCAGGTCACCTTTAATCTTCATCAGAGGTAACATGAACGCGCAGCGTTATATCCATGAAGTTCTAGAACCCCATCTTTTACCCTATCTTGACACCCTGGCAGATCCAACTTTCCAACAAGATAATGCCCGACCACATGTTGCAAGAGTCACAATAGACTTCTTTCAACATAATGATGTCACATTGTTACCATGGTCACCAAGATCTCCCGACTTATCCCCAATTGAGCACGTGTGGGATATGATGGGTAGGAGATTGCTCAATTTGCAACGTCCTCCTCAGACTCTAGAAGCACTTCGAGAGGAGTTGGTGGTTGCCTGGAATGAGATACCACAGGAGGACATTGACCACCTGATCAGAAGCATGCCTAGGCGCGTTGGAGAATGCGTAGCACATCAGGGTGCATCCACACATTATTAAAGGTCAAAGGGCTTTAAAGCAGTGCAATCATTTTGAAATTTTTATCATTTACTTATTATGCTTCATTAAGTACTTATACAAAATTTTATTAAAATAAAACCATTTAAACTGGGTGTTCGGATTTATATGTCACTTAGTATATTTAGAGTTTTTCAATCGACCATACACTTGTTTGCTTCCCGTTCATTTAGCTCCAGCACTACTGGGCCTTACCGCACTGATGAGCGAAATTACTCTATATAACCTGTAATAAATTTGTACAAAAATATATTTTTTTTAGTTCTTTTACCATATTGGTCCTAAAAAAGTCAAGTTCTTTGCTAAATTAATTATTTTTATTATTATGCATACTTTGTTACCTCAAAATACCTAGACACACACTATTTATGCACATGGATATCTACAATATGACTAATTGTTTTATGTTTAATACAAATTGTGGACACGAGTTATAAATGATTAAAAATTTGAACAATTGCACGTACAATGGGAATATTTATCGGAATCACCTTTAGCTATTTGGCAAATATTATTACACCTTAATTATTATGTTTCTCCATTGGTACTCCTCGAACTCTGATTCAAAGCTTTTTTTCTAACACTCTAACAAAATAGCAAAGGTAGCAAAAACATCCCATGAGCTGGCAACACCGCAATCCAGGTGACAAGAATAACAAGGTCAGCTGCCAAAACTTATGTTTAACTGGGGTACCGACGGATCGATTTCGAACGTCAAGGCGTCAATTTACCAATTTTCATGTGCATTTTTTTAGGGGTTGTGCAACGATTCCGAGAAAAATTTCGCTACAGATAGTCTTGTAGAGCCTAGTAGAGTATATTTCACCAGTTGTCTTGAGTGGCCATGTTATCTTTACTCGAGACAATCTCTCTACAGAAAAGACAACATATACGAGGATTGTCCGTAAAATAAGTTCCACGGAGGTTTTACATGAAGAAACAATATACTTCTGAATAAAAATCCAATATTTCGCCCTTAAGAAGAAATAAAGTTGATGCAGGCGGACAATAGACGGAACGTCACCTTGAAATTCTAATTATGCCTTCTTGTAGAGGAGAAAAAGTGGTAATGTTAATGTGCAATTTATACTAAGTGACATATAAATCCGAACACCCAGTTTAAATGGTTTTATTTTAATAAAATGTTGTATAAGTACTTAATGAAGCATAATAAGTAAATGACCTTTAATAATCTGTTGATGCACCCTGATGTGCTACGCATTCTCCAACGCGCCTAGGCATGCTTCTGATCAGGTGGTCAATGTCCTCCTGTGGTATCTCATTCCAGGCAACCACCAACTCCTCTCGAAGTGCTTCTAGAGTCTGAGGAGGACGTTGCAAATTGAGCAATCTCCTACCCATCATATCCCACACGTGCTCAATTGGGGATAAGTCGGGAGATCTTGGTGGCCGTGGTAACAATGTGACATCATTATGTTGAAAGAAGTCTCTTGTGACTCTTGCAACATGTGGTCGGGCATTATCTTGTTGGAAAGTTGGATCTGCCAGGGTGTCAAGATAGGGTAAAAGGTGGGGTTCTAGAACTTCGTGGATATAACTCTGCGCGTTCATGTTACCTCTGATGAAGATTAAAGGTGACCTGGAACCATAAGCTATAGCACCCCAAACCATAACTCCAACAGTTTGATGAACATGTCTTTCAACAAAAAACTGTGGATTCCTCCTTTCACCACGTCGCCTTCTAACCCTGAGATATACAGGGTGTCCGCAAAGTTGGAGTTTTCCTTTTCAGACACAACTACGCTTGATATAACAAAGCTAATGTGTGATGAAACGTGAGCGAACAAGTAAAACAAATAATGAAATGGTACTCACTGTTCAGTTGAATTGAAATTCCAAGTACGGCTCTGTCGTAAAATCTGTATTTACATCATAGTCGTATGTCGTATAACTGTACGCTAGCGCTGGAGCTGTGGACGTGATCGAGGTATAGGACAGGACCGGCTTCGGTTTGTTTTAGGTTTGATTGAGTTTGCGTAGCCCAATATCTCGGTTCTCTTAAGACATTGGTGTATATGCTACTAACAAAATCCGCTTATTTTCTCAAGATCCACACAACGTGTAAAGGAGAACCCCAACTTTGCGGACACCCTGTATATAAGAGAGAGGTGATATACATTAATCACGAAATCTCGAAAACTATTTGACCTATGAACATGAAATATGGTAGGGAAGTAGTTTATGGACAGAAAATGTCAGTTTGGGCATAAGGGAGGTAAGGGCAAATATATATATATATATAAACGCGCAAAAAAATAGATTAATCACGAAATTTCAGAAACTATTTAACCGATGAAGATGATATATTAAGTAGAGAGGAAGTTCATGGAAAAGGAATGTCGGTTAAAAACAGATTTCACAAAGGGCTGGATTAAGCGGGCTTAGGGCAGATATATGTCAAATCAAAGAGATACACATTAATCCCGAAATCCCAGAAACTGTTTGACCTAGAGCATGAATTTTAGCAGGGCATTTCAGCTAAGAACGGATTTTGTGGCAGGACCATATTAACAGATTAAAGGACACTTAAAAATTTGTTTGAAATTACTTGGAGTTTTCTAATATCTAAAAATTAACAGCGATGAGATTCTGTTTATAGAAGACTTAAACTAACAATGTGTAGCCGGAAATTTGGCATAGAGATGGCTTTAAAAATGTGAAATTTAGTTCAATTTAATATGCCAATTTTGCAATATCATTAATTTGTCAGCTTTCAGAACCGTGGTGTTATCCCCACAGCCTGGTTTTATTAATAAAATAACCATTTTTACCAAGCATGCAAGGTTACTGTTAATTTACTATGCAATGCAGTTATCGCAATACTCAAAAACAATGTTATATATCAGCAACTATTAAACGCGTACGAAATCGCAGCTAAGAGCTAAGCCTTGTCCAGGAAGGGCGAATTCGCCGCGAAACGTTTAGCGCGAAATCATTCGCGCGTTAGTGAGATACTTGACATCAATACGTCGCGTCCACAAGCATCGCGCGAATTCAAAATACGCGCGTAAATCGCGTGCACTACGCTAGACTCTCGACTCGCGAGCAATACGCAATACTAGGGAACGCCTTGTTGCGTCCAGTTAACGCACGAACTCTAGAGCGAGTGCACGTATCGAGGGAAATGGAGCGCCAAAATTTTGACACGGAATTGTTTATAGACGAAATAGAAAAAAGACCGGCGATATGGGATTTGGAATCACCTGATTATGCTAACAGCATTTTAAAACGTAGGTCTTGGGAAGAACTGGTGTCAGTATTTTCTGATAAAGATGACACCGAGGAAAAAAGAAAGATTTAGGTACGTAATGATTATTAATTTATTGATTAGTAACAAACAAAGAAAATTAGATCATTTTTTCTTGCCACGGCAGTCGACCTTCCTTCATGAAATAATCAGCGAATATATCCGTCGTGTTTCGAGACCTTACACCAGGTCGAATTGTAGTCGTACTCAGACCATCTAGAGCTGTTTCGAACAATGTGTCTTCGTATCTGTATCCTTCTCTTAACTTGACGTAATTGTGAAGAACACAACAAGCTTTAATTATGTTTTCCGCAAATTCAATATGTACATTGAGTGGTTTGTGAAATATTCTCCATTTGTTTACCAGGATTCCAAAACAACACTCAATATAACGTCTTGCTCTAGAGAGACGGTAATTAAATATTCGTTTTTCTTTGGTTAAATTCTTGCCGCAATATGGCCGCATAATATGTTCTGATAAGCTAAATGCCTCATCTCCAACTATAACATGAGATAAACGTGTTGTACGAATTTCTGAGACTGGTTTTGGTCCCGAAATGTTCAAAGATCAACATCTATAGAGATAAAACAATAATTTGCATCACATACGGCAAGCAGCACAGTCGAAAAAAAATGTTTATAATTGTAGAACATAGAGCCGGAATCTAAAGGTTTTATAATTGTAATATGTTTCCCATCAACTGCTCCAATGCAATTAGGAAAATGTGTATATTTTTCGAATCCTCTTGCAATTTCCATCCACTCTTCTGTCGAAGGTTCTTTCATTACTATATCTTTTAACTTATTCCAAATAACATACACAGTTTTTTGAACGATGTCAATTACAGTTGATTTTCCTAATCTATAGGCATAATGTAAGTCAGCAAAATAACAGCCAGTTGCTAAGTACCTGAAACAAAATTGAAAATTATTATGAAATTGTTAATTTCAGGAAATACTCTTTAAAAAAAGTGGAAAGGCCTTCGCGACACATTTGTTCGTGAAATGAAAAAAACAAAGAATGCACCATCAGCTTCGAAGATTCAATATATATATTTTCAACGTCCTATGTTTCTCGAAAGGTCAGTACGTAATAAAAAAACAGAAAGCAATATTCAAGACACCTCAGAAAACTCAGAGACAGGTAACGAAGAGTCTACAGCAGATGCAAGGGAAGACATAATGAGGCCGCCGAATTAAAATATTAAAAGAAAGAAAATGACTGCCGCTGATGCTGAATTCCTGAACATAATTAACAAAAATATAAGCTCTAGGAATCAACAACAGCCACTGCTTTCCAGCGTAATGGAAGGTGATGATGACAAACTGCTCTGCTTATCTTTACACAAAGAATTACTTAAGGTACCTGAGGCCAATCGTATAGCAGTAAAAATTGAATTAATGAAAATTTTGCAAGCGGCTCAACAATCTTCGCAATCAACTGTGTATTCAAACAATTCGTATTCGTACTTTTCTAACAGTTCGGCTTCATCTTCAACTTCAATTCCGGTTCGATACCATGCACAACCTACAAGACCAATTTACTTTTCAAGAATACGACCCAGAAACGCCACCCGTAACAACTTGGCAAGGCCGCAATTCTAATTCAGTGCCAGGATCTTCACAGGCAGCATTATACGTAAATTCTCCATCAACATCATCAAGAGATTCTCAGGATAGTGAATGTCTTAACCTCTTCCAAAACCATGACATTGTTTAATTATTATATTTAATCTCATACTACATTTAGTTCGTTTTTATTAGTAAGAATATTTTTTTATTTTAGAAGACTGTGTTAGTAATATAAGAGATTATGAATAAAACACTACTTACCTTAAAGTTATCACGAGTTTCTATTCTGGTGAAACAACATCCTCGCGCGGAACATAATTTGCACGTGGCAATAAATCTTCTCCAATTAATAAGAGTAAATCATCAAACGATTTCACGGACATACGAAAGTAGTTAAAAAATTTCTTCTCATGTTGTCTTAATTTTGGATACAAAGTTTCAAACATACTATGGGTCATTCTATCATGAAGAATTGGATGTACTAAATACATTCTATTTTCCCTCCGTTTCTGTCTCTTCCAGCGACGGTAAGCTAACCACAACGAGACCGCTTCGTTCAACTCCATGTTTCGTACTGAATTTCCTCCCTGAATGCTTGCGCGTTGGTACGCTATGTGTGGACGCAACGGTAGCGCGAAACACGCGCGAGAGAATCGCGGCGAATTCGCCCTTCCTGGACAAGGCCCTATAGTTATAACTACAGCGAAAGCTCGAACATTTCTCATAATGTTAAAGGACTGTTGAAAATTGTCAAATGACACATGTTGAAATAGCATAGGTAATCTATTATCAAATCGTGCGGAACATGGTCAATAGATATTCTCAAACCTTTTATAGTTATCTCGTTTGATATATCAAAGCTTTGAGGCTGGCAATATTCAGGAGTGTTGGCGTGTTGGGTCTTTCATATCGCCGTTTTGCTATGTAACTGTACTCCAGTGGCGGCCAAGATGGAAAATACTTGTCGTGATGAGGCACTAAAGATGTTGAACAACTAATTACCAGCTCAAAACGTTATGTGGGTTGACTCATTACTACCCACACAATTCTGTCATAATTGGTTTATTTTCAGACATAACGTCATATCATCTATGATTAAAAAGAAATCGATGAAATCAATTGTATGTAAGACATGAGAGTTAACTTATACTGAACACAAAGTTCACTCATAGGACTGCCACTGCCATTTACTTATGATACAAATTAACCCCGCTGCTGAAATTTCTGCCAACCCGTGGTGAAATATAGGCTACAATTAAGGATTTCCTATGCCTTTGTGAGAATAATAATAATAATAATAATAATAATAATAATAATAATAATAATAATGTTTATTGTCACAAAATACAGGTAAATATCAAATATTGTGCACAATAAACATAAAGCACCCAAAAAAAGTTTGCACTTGTGTTTGGGTTTGTACAAAATAAAAACTAATAGTACAGTCAGAGTATGAAAAAAAAACCGTTAATACTGTATAATTTGGTGAATTATTATGGTAATGTCAGGAAAAATATCCAGACAATTAGAACTAAAGTAAAAGTATGGATGTTAGTGTAAGTAAAATATTATTGATTTTGATAATGATTTTTCAGATCTACAATTTCGTGGATGGAGTACCTTGGTTGTTGTAAAATCCATTTTTTCAGTTCTTTTTTAAATGATTTAATTGATTTAATTACTTTTAATGACTCTGGTATGAAGTTATAGAATTTTGGTCCCAAGAAAAAAAGAGATCGTTGTGTAATGGTTTTTGATGTTTGTGGAATACACATTGAATTTTGATTGAATCTTGTTGGGTAGTTATGAATGGTACGATTAAAGTATTTTGAATATTTGAAATAATGTATTAGACCACAATAAAAATAAATTTGCCTGCAATCTAATAGCTGAGCCTCCACATATAGAAAATCACTTGAATAAGTAATCTCCCTATGGAGGATCAATTTTAGAATTAATTTTTGGATAACATCAACCTTTTTGTAATTATTATTCATAACTCCCCCCCAAGCCAAAATTCCGTAAAGTAATAGAGGATAAACAAGAGCATAATATAGATTATATAGATATTTCTTATCTAGAATATCTCTGAAGTTTCTGGTATCTTCTACTGTAGGGCGGTGGCAACGTGGGGACAAAACTCGAGACGTGTAACGATGAATATTGGCCTGTTTGGAGCTTATCAGGGATTTAATTTTTCTGATAGGGTAGTATTACAGATTTTTAATAAAAGAACGTCTTTCGCTGGTACCATTAACAACTCCTAGCCAACAATTTGTACCCATTACATTTTTTCCTCGGAAAATGATCAAGAGCATCTGAAATATCGAAAATGAACCTTGAGTTTTTGTTTTTTTGTCTATAGCTCTGTTACCACTGGATCAATTTTTAAAAACTACAAATCAAAATCCGACCCGTACTTTCCAAGTTATAGCAGGGCCAAACATTCGCGGACAGACATACACACAGACAAACCGTTATGGTAGTTTTCCGTGATGCATATGTCATTTAGCATCCAAAAATGTAATGACATATTTTAGAATTATATTATTTCCTCACCAATCAGCGAGGAAATTAACAAAAAGACAGCTGTTCGGAAATCCAACTTCCAACACAAGCATACATCAACAAACTATCAAATGTGACAGCTTATTGATTCGTGACGTTCATGTTACATAGTGGCCTGTTCAATAAACATACTGCCCCTTTCGACAGCTCTTGAGCACGCCCAAGCAACTGCAATGATTCGGACTGTCATCGATTTTGAATGCCTAAAACGTTGAATATGTTTACGGTAGGAGAATTAGTGAACGGAAGGAAGAAAGAGAGAGACGGAGGATGGGTCGGAAGTGAGGCGAACGAATAGACGAAATGGTTGGATAAACTGATTGCGGGCCAACGTCAATTCGACATAGCTGGATGGGAAAATTGCTCATAAAGGATAATAGTCCAATCATCAGATACTGTGTAATGTCCGCAATGCGCTACATGAAAACAAAATGCTGCTTTAGTACAGATCGGGTTTGTAATAAATATGTTGCTACGAAACCCATGGCATTGGGACTGTATATACCGCCGCTAAAACGTTTTTTGATATTAATGGAATCGTTACTCGGAAAGCACCTTCAATGGTATTTTTTGCTCATATTCAGTTTGGTTTCTGCCAGGAAAATCTTGAACTCACTATGACCTAGTAGTAACGTCTTCTACCTACCTATAAATTATTTACATCGTACCAATGATTTCCTAAAATCGAGAAGAACGTATTTCATTCATAAATACGAAGGATGTCCTTTAAGTTTTGCATATAGAAACATAGTAGGCCTCGCGGATCGAACGTCCGTACTGAATCTTAACATCACTCTTTAGTGAACTTAAATTCAAAGTTTCACAACAATACGTGCAGTGTTCTCACAACAGTGAATTTTTAAGTGTCACCAAGTTATTAGAAAAATGGAACTCAACCGAGAACATTTTCGCGCCATAATTTATTACAACTTTCAGAGACAATTATCGCAACAAGAATGCCTTGCTGAGTTACTGACTGTTTTCGTCAACGAAGCGCCACATCAGTCTACAATTTCCCGTTGGTATGATGAATTCAAACGTAGGCGGGTGAGTCTTAACGACGATCCCAGCGTGGGTGCACCAAAAACGGCAGTCACCCAGGAAAACGTCGATGCTGTGCGCAAACTCATCATCGAAGATAGACATGTGACATTTAGAGAGATTGAGGCGTCCTTGAAGATCTCAAAGACCTCAATTCAAAAAAATTTACATGAAGAATTAGGAGTAAGAAAATTAGTTTCTCGTTGGATACCCCACCTGTTGACTGAAGAGCAGAAAGCAGCCAGGGTTAATTGGTGTCAAAAAACGCTTGACACTTTCAATTCCGGAAACTCAAGAAATGTATGCAGTATTGTCAGTGGTGATGAATCGTGGATTTACTGTTATGAACCAGAAAATAAACGACAGTCTTCTGTTTGAGTGTTCCAAGGTGAAGAAAAGCCAACAAAAGTCATCCGTTCTCGAAGTGTTTCGAAAAAGATGGTCGCGACATTTGTGTCAAAAGCGGGTCATATTGCAACAATTCCTCTGAGCAAAGAACTGTTACTGCGAATTGGTATACCACCATTTGTTTGCCAAAAGTCATCACCGAGCTTCGAAAAATCAACCCTGAAAGAAGAATCATCCTCCACCAAGACAATGCAAGCTCGCACACAGCCCAAAAAACAAGGCATTATTTAACGGAAGCAAACGTGGAATTATTGGACCATCCTCCATATATAACAGACTGCGTGGTCAAAGGTTCCAGTCACCAGAAGAATCAGTTGACGCATTCAAAAATGCCGTTTTGGATCTGCCAGCAAACGAGTGGAATAAGTACTTCGAAAATTGGTTTGAACGCATGCAGATGTGTATTAATCTTCGTGGAGAATACTTCGAAAAACAATAAAGTCATTTAAAACTACCTACCGTGTTGTTTTATTTCCATATGCAAAACTTAAAAGGCATCCCTCGTAATACATGTATGTATGTACATGTATGTTGTATAAAACGCCGTTTGAGCGTTGTATATTGCCTCATAACCTAGTAATGTAGGCTGGAAGACAGATGAAATCTACAATTTCAAATATCAGCATGACACTACAGTCGCATGACCAATAAGTGCTAAAACTTGCATTTTGCCGAGGTTTTTGACCATAAGTTTTTTGCTTTTGTTCGGACCTTTATAAGTGTGATCTCATTTTGTACGCGTCTTAAATCTTATTTGAAGAACTTTTCGTTGATACAAACACTTTCGATTTAATCCTAGAAATCGTATTTTCTCATTCGTTATTGTTTGTTGATAAATACTTGCATCTATAAAGCCTATTACATTACAATTATTTCGGGGAAACTTGCTAATATGGTTAGTGTAAAATGGCATTGGGACTGTATATATATCGCCGCTAAAACCTCAGAAATTAAAATTGTTTTTACTGGAATCGTGACACTGAAAGAACTTTCAATGATATTTTTTGGTCATATTCAGTTTAGTTTCGGCCTGGCAAATTTTGATCTCACTATGACATGATAATAACATCATTTTCAACCTACTTATAAATTCTTTGCATCGTGAAGGCTTTAAAAAACAGGTTAATGATTTCCTAAGTCTAGTTTAAACGTCTTTCATTTTTATCTACTATTTGTTACCAGGGGAAGATTATATGGTTTTATCCGTGAACTTATCATTGATTTTGACAATACCTATTCTTGTTGCCAGTAGAGATACAACAGTATTGAGAGAAATCATGGACTGCTAGATAGGGCTACAACTACCATATGACTATCAAATAGTAGTGATAAACAGGGTTTGTTTATAGCACAGTTGCCTGGTGTGGCGAATTTGCGCCATAGGGGCGATTTGACAACTTTGAAGGACAACTATAACGGTTACTATGGTGCCCGGTATTCGGGAATCTGGCAATACCTGATGATTCCTAACGTTTATTACGCCAGATTGTTTGCTGACTTGCGCAGTACAACATGACAATCAACGTGACTGAGCACCTGGTAACCCTGG